AGCTTTACTTACTATCATCTTTAATCAAAACTATTATCTACATACAGGATTAAGTCTACAGCAAACACACATACATATTTAACTACTCTTTCCACATATTCCACTCATATCCTCGTATTTCTTACTCTACCACATACCACACATAGCCCACAGACTCTCCTACTTCCCAAAACATGACCCCCCATCTTTCCTGACCGCATAACACAATACCGGACGCTCACACGCGTCCGACACGCGCCAAACTTCCGGGAAAATTCCCCCCAAACCCTTTGCAACTACGACCGCGCGCTCCACCTGCTCAGCTGGCTCTCATAGAGCCACCTGGGCAGATGGTGCGCGCGGTTCTAGTCGCACTTTACCCTACTGTACCGCAGTCATGATATGGCATATGGCTCAGTACTCCACTGAACTAGAGGAGGTCCATATAGTTTAACAAACATAAGTGCTGATACATGATTTATGAGAATTCTTGAGCGTGTTGTTGTTATTATCAGGTTTATGTTACTGAGTTCCCTCTCACACTCAGTAGTACTAATATGAATAACTAGTAAAGAGCTCAGTAATGGGTATAAATCTTGGGGGGACGCGGCAATTTCCTCATGAAAGGGTTCGAACCATAGACCCCCAGGAGCATACATATGTATGTAATCCTCTATTCACTGTGGCTCTTTCTCTCTTACCATAAACAACCCCTTATCAGTCTTTTCATACAAACTTAAAAAATAACAAAATTAAGGTTCTCAGAAATATGGTTCCTTCAACCGGATATGAAGGCTATCATAACAATACAAAATATTGAAATATTTAGGTCTAATTACCTTTATTTTCTCAAAGTCAGTGAGAACTGATCCAAGATGTTGCTGGCTGGAGTGCTCGTCGTGTTGGCCCTTGTTTGTCTGGCCGCCTCATCATCTCTCCTTCCAAATGGTAATATGACCGCCTCATCTCTCCTTCCTCATCATGGTAATATGGCGACTTGAATGCTTGGTTGTAGTGAAACTGAAATACTTTATTCAGAAATGTTTGTACATATATAATTGTGTTAGTTTACACAAATTTACAGACATTTATTTACCTAAGGGAGTAAATACTAATAACATGTAATATCTGCAGTTATAAACTGTATACTCAAGAATTATATTTAGACTTAGAAACTTCGTTTATCAATGGGTTTAAAATCATTAGAGTGTTCAAATTCAGAATAATAAATTAAGTTTGTAATAATTTATGTAAATTGTTACATTAATGTTTACACTACACAGCTGTGCAGTCTCGTGCATAAACTCCTTTCTGTTTTGGACATATGTTCTTGTTATTGATATAGTGGCGACGATGATATTGTTCTTGTTATTGATATAATGGCAACGATGATATAGGAATCGGATGTACCAAGGCGTACCCTTAAGGGGTAAATCGCAAAGCCTAATGGCGAAATGTACGTCGTCTGTTTGCAGAAACAAATACGCTTCCCGGCGAATAAACACATTGATGGACTGATGATCTGGGAGCCCCAGGAGTCCCTTAGGGTGACAAGCACCGTCCCCGCCCCACACAGAGAACACGGGGGAGCCCCAGGAGTCCCTCAGGGTGACAAGCACCGTCCCCGCCCCACACAGAACACTGGGGAGCCCCAGGAGTCCCTCAGGGTGACAAGCACCGGCCCCGCCCCACACACACAACACTAGGGAGCCCCAAGGGTGACAAGCACCGTCCCCGCCCCACAAAGAACACTGGGGAGCCCCAGGAGTCCCTCAGGGTGACAAGCACCGGCCCCGCCCTACACACAGAACACTACGTAGCAAAGCAAAAAACGCCCCCCTCCTTCTATAACGCAAAATTGTCATCCAGTGGTCCCTGACTGAGCAGCAGCTCGCCGCGCCCACCACGTCTGAGGGAACACCAAGAGCCCACCAAGACCTACCAACTCCCAGTACTTCTCGGTCAAGCTGGACACCGTCCGTCTCCCTGCTTTCCATAGTATGAACCTTTATAAGCTGATCATGCAACAGTTAAAAAATCATAATTCGTCAAGCCTGGGCCCAGGTCGGGTTACAGGAATAAAAGAACTCCCAGAACCCATCTAGGTACAATCCAGGTACCTTTTAAATCCTGAATAAGCTTTGTTGTTATCACTTTTCCCTTAGATTCAAGCTTGTGTGTTAATGTTTGGGAATAATGATGGTAGGTACTGAAAATGTGTGAAGTGCACTCCAACCAAGTTGCCGAGGTAATGCAGTAGTATTTACTCTCCCAGATTGTTCTATGCTGAGGAACACGAGGGCTGGTTCACCATTGTGGGCGGCTGTGTGTACTCCTAGGCCCAGGACCTCGTCCGTAGCATTAGCCCAAGAGGAATTTCTAAGAGTGTGCTGTCTTCGGAATTAATTATGTGGATATCAGGCAGAATATTTTAATCTTGAACTATGATGTGAGGGTTGGAGAGATTTTTCCACACAAGGAAAATTCCCAAGAGGAATTTCTAAGAGTGTGCTGTCTTCGGAATTGATTATGTGGATATCAGGCAGAATATTTTAATCTTGAACTATGATGTGAGGGTTGGAGAGATTTTTCCACACAGAGAGAATTCAAGACAAAATATTGGCTGACTAATTTCATCTGAATGTTTTTGAGGCCCTCCTGGAGGGAAACAGGAAAACCAGAGCAACATCATCCAAGAAGATGTTAAGCTTGCTGGACAGGTTTTCCTTGACATTTTGATGTCTAAACAGAAAGGTAGAGAGACGGCGAGGTCAATCTGCTACTTTGATTAGGGTTGTTTTGTCGGTAACGTTGGCAATGTATGATCTAGCTGTATGAGCTGCTGTCGTACCTTCGTGTAGAATGGCAAACCAGAGCTGTATTGGTTAACACATGTGTGTCGCATTCTGGACTTGCTGAGGTGCCAGAGGGACTTTCCCAGAGCGGGTAGCCTGATTATCTTGTTATTTTGATGTTTCGTGTGTTCTGTTATTGTCCTTTCTGCTGTGGGTGCGTTTTTTTCCAGAAAGAAGCGGACTTTTGTTGTCGTCTTGGGGGAAACTCACTAATAGTTGTAATGACTGAGGCTATTGATATTTTGTCTCTCGCTGCAGAGACGTCTATTCAAATATTGCAGGGTAACATGAGGATGTTCCATGCTTGGGTGGTTCCTGTGGAGTCATTGGTTTTTCAAGAGAGGTGGAGAGTTTGCTGCTCCCCTGGGTGCGAGCTGCTTTGATGAGTTGGAGAACCAGACCACCAGCTTTGGTGGTCTTTAAGAAGACATCTAATGACATGAAGCTGTGCTTTCTCTAAGTGCTTGAGTCTGCCGTTGATTGTTGTTCTATTTAGGAATACATTGAGAACACCAACACCACCTTGAATTATTTATGTGATTGAGAACGTAACCGTCACTATTGAGGCACAATTCCACGTCACACACTCGACATACTGTGGGATCGAACTCGCGGGTCTCCCCATAATCATTCACTATATACTTGACCACGATGTGGGTACCAGCTGGTTGCTTTCCAGACTCCACGTGAGTTCAGAAGAATTTCAAATTGCGCTAATTTTGAGCTCATATTAGTCTAGTTGATAGTGCGTGTTTCTGGAGAGACCAGAGCCGCGAGTTCAATCCTCTCATACTGCCTCAATATTTTCTTACAGGTTCATTACACTATTGTGATTCTTTTGTACCACATTAACAAATAAAAATATAAAGTAAAATGTTTATTTAGGTAAGGTACATACATACAATAAATTTTTACAAAGATTGGTTGACTTATAGGTAGAGCTAGTACATACAATGCCTAAAGCCACTATTACGCAAAGCGTTTCGGGCATGATAAACTTAAATGACAAGCTTAATACTAATTGAGCATAATGAGTAGAATGAAAACAAGAAATGAAAACAGAGATGAAAAAGCAGCACAAATACAATTATGTCGACAAACAGCGCTCTTTAAAAAAAACCAGACATTGGTTGACAATAGAAGGGTAAGGTAGGTTACAGGGAATTTATTAGGTATAGCTTCGTTTTTAACTTAAACTGGTTGAGAGAGGTACAGTCTTTAACATGGTTGGGAAGGTCATTCCACATTCTGGGCCCCTTGATTTGTAGAGCATTTCTAGTTTGATTAAGTCGTACTCTAGGAATATCAAAACTGTATTTATTTCTGGTGTGGTGCTCATGGGTTCTGTTACATCCTTCTATGAAGCTTTTGAGATCAGGATTGGCATTATAGTTTAGTGTTTTATATATGTATAATACACATGAGAGAATGTGCAGTGACTTAATGTCTAACAAATTCAGAGATTTGAGTAGGGGTACCGAGTGATGCCTGGGGCCACTCGGTACCCTCGGTACTTAGTTGGATATTGTCCTAATAGCAGCTTTGTGTTGAGTAATTAGAGGACGTAAGTAATTTTGGGTAGTAGAGCCCCAAGCACAAATACCATAGTTGAGATATGGATAGATAAGGGAGTAATAGAGAGTCACCAGGGCAGGGCGTGGTACATAATATCTGATCTTAGAAAGAATGCCCACAGTTTTTGAAACTTTTTTTGATATATATAGAATGTGTCCCTGGAAATTCAGCTTGTGGTCAATGAGAATGCCAAGGAATTTGCCATCTAATTTGTTACAAATTTGGGTATTGTTTATTTTGAGATTTATTTGATTAGAGGATTTATTGCCAAACAGAATATAGAAAGTTTTGTCAATGTTAAGGGTGAGTTTGTTGGCAGTTAGCCAAAGATGGACTTTATTTAGCTCAGTATTTACTGTGGCATTTAGAGCAAGGGGGTCAGGATTGGAGTAAATGAAGGTTGTGTAAAGAGTTTTTTAGTTCTTATTATTAATTAATTAATTATTAATTAATAATAAATTAATAGTTCTTATTATTAATTATTAAATTAAAGAGTTCTTATCTCCAAATATAAAAGTACTCCTTTCCCAAGTTTGAAGTATTCTATTTCTGACCGTAATAGGAAGAGCAGAACCCATGGGAGTAGCAGGGATGGCAGTCAGAGATGTGCTGGCGACAGTCGCCCATCCATACAGCGCCGTCGTTGTCCTTATGGATGGCAGCTCCTCGGCTGCCACCCTCTTCCAGGTCTGCACTCACTGTGGTGTGTTAATGGTAAAAAAAAATCGACATATAATGCATGTATTGGATGATTGTCTGATATGAGTGTCAGAGTTTGAACCTACAATAACTTGCAGTCTCCTCGCTGTTGCAGGAGATGGAGACGAGGCGGGTCCCTTGGGGCTGTACGGTGCTACAGGCGGCCACCAATAGTCCAGTGGATCCTAACAGCACGCAAGAGTCCATGGCCAGAGTGATCAGCGCTGCCCGCGCAGTAAGTGGCTCTTGTGTGTGTGTTGGTGTGTCAGGTGGCTCTTGTGTGTGTTGGTGTGTCAGGTGGCTCTTGTGTGTGTGTTGGTGTGTCAGGTGGCTCTTGTGTGTGTTGGTGTGTCAGGTGGCTCTTGTGTGTGTGTTGGTGTGTCAGGTGGCTCTTGTGTGTGTTGGTGTGTCAGGTGGCTCTTGTGTGTGTTGGTGTGTCAGGTGGCTCTTGTGTGTGTGTTGGTGTGTCAGGTGGCTCTTGTGTGTGTTGGTGTGTCAGGTGGCTCTTGTGTGTGTTGGTGTGTCAGGTGGCTCTTGTGTGTGTGTTGGTGTGTCAGGTGGCTCTTGTGTGTGTTGGTGTGTCAGGTGGCTCTTGTGTGTGTTGGTGTGTCAGGTGGCTCTTGTGTGTGTTGGTGTGTCAGGTGGCTCTTGTGTGTGTTGGTGTGTCAGGTGGCTCTTGTGAGTGTTGATGTGTCAGGTGGCTCTTGTGTGTGTTGGTGTGTCAGGTGGCTGTTGTGTGTGTTGGTGTGTCAGGTGGCTCTTGTGTGTGTTGGTGTGTCAGGTGGCTCTTGTGTGTGTTGGTGTGTCAGGAGGCTCTTGTGTGTGTTGGTGTGTCAGGTGGCTCTTGTGTGTGTTGGTGTGTCAGGTGGCTCTTGTGTGTGTTGGTGTGTCAGGTGGCTTTTGTGTGTGATGATGTGTCAGGTGGCTCTTGTGTGTGTTGGTGTGTCAGGTGGCTCTTGTGTGTGTGTTGGTGTGTCAGGTGGCTCTTGTGTGTGTTGGTGTGTCAGGTGGCTCTTGTGTGTGTTGGTGTGTCAGGTGGCTCTTGTGTGTGTTGGTGTGTCAGGAGGCTCTTGTGTGTGTTGGTGTGTCAGGTGGCTCTTGTGTGTGTTGGTGTGTCAGGTGGCTCTTGTGTGTGTTGGTGTGTCAGGTGGCTCTTGTGTGTGTGTTGGTGTGTCAGGTGGTTCTTGTGTGTGTTGGTGTGTCAGGAGGCTCTTGTGTGTGTTGGTGTGTCAGGTGGCTCTTGTGTGTGTTGATGTGTCAGGTGGCTCTTGTGTGTGTGTTGGTGTGTCAGGTGGCTCTTTTGTGTGTTGGTGTGTCAGGTGGCTCTTGTGTGTGTGTTGGTGTGTCAGGTGGCTCTTGTGTGTGTGTTCGTGTGTCAGGTGGCTCTTGTGTGTGTGTTGGTGTGTCAGGTGGCTCTTGTGTGTGTTGGTGTGTCAGGTGGCTCTTGTGTGTGTTGGTGTGTCAGGTGGCTCTTGTGTGTGTGTTGGTGTGTCAGGTGGCTCTTGTGTGTGTTGGTGTGTCAGGTGGCTCTTGTGTGTGTTGGTGTGTCAGGTGGCTCTTGTGTGTGTGTTGGTGTGTCAGGTGGCTCTTGTGTGTGTTGATGTGTCAGGTGGCTCTTGTGTGTGTTGATGTGGCAGGTGGCTCTTGTGTGTGTTGGTGTGTCAGGTGGCTCTTGTGTGTGTTGGTGTGTCAGGTGGCTCTTGTGTGTGTTGATGTGTCAGGTGGCTCTTGTGTGTGTTGATGTGTCAGGTGGCTCTTGTGTGTGTTGGTGTGTCAGGTGGCTCTTGTGTGTGTTGGTGTGTCAGGTGGCTCTTGTGTGTGTTGGTGTGTCAGGTGGCTCTTGTGTGTGTTGGTGTGTCAGGTGGCTCTTGTGTGTGTTGGTGTGTCAGGAGGCTCTTGTGTGTGTTGGTGTGTCAGGTGGCTCTTGTGTGTGTGTTGGTGTGTCAGGAGGCTCTTGTGTGTGTTGGTGTGTCAGGTGGCTCTTGTGTGTGTGTTGGTGTGCCAGGTTGCTCTTGTGTGTGTGTTGGTGTGCCAGGTGGCTCTTGTGTATGTTGGTGTCAACAGGTGCGGCAGGTGTCGTGGTGCGTGACAATGGTGTTGGTGTCAACAGGTGCGGCAGGTGTCGTGGTGCGTGACGGTGGTGTTGGTGTCAACAGGTGCGGCAGGTGTCGTGGTGCGTGACGGTAGTGTTGGTGTCAACAGGTGCAGCAGGTGTCAACGGTGTGGCAGGTGTCGTGGTGCGTGACGGTAATCTTGAGGTTATCTTGAGATGATTTCGGGGCTTTAGTGTCCCCGCGGCCTGGTCCTCGACCAGGCCTCCACTCCCAGAAAGCAGCCCGTGACAGCTCACTAACACCCAGGTACCTATTTTACTGCGATGTAACAGGGGCATAGGGTGAAAGAAACAATGCCCATTGTTTCTCGCCGGTGCCTGGGATCGAACCCAGGACTACAGGATCACAAGTCCAGCGTGCTGTCCGCTCGGCCGACCGGCTTCCCAACCAACGGTAGTGTTGGTGTCAACAGGTGTGACACGTGTCATGGTATGTGACAGCTGTGTTGGTGTCAACAGGTGCGGCAGGTGTCGTGGAGCGTGACAGCTGTGTTGGTGTCAACAGGTGCGGCAGGTGTCGTGGAGCGTGACAGCTGTGTTGGTGTCAACAGGGGCGGCAGGTGTCGTGGAGCGTGACAGTGGTGTTGGTGTCAACAGGTGCGGCAGGTGTCATGGTGCGTGACAGTGGTGGTGGTGTCAACAGGTGTGGCAGGTGTCGTGGAGCGTGACAGTGGTGATGGTGTCAACAGGTGTGGCAGGTGTCGTGGTGCGTGACAGAGGTGGTGGTGTCAACAGGTGTGGCAGTGTGGCAGGTGTCGTGGTGCGTGACAGTGGTGGTGGTGTCAACAGGTGTGGCAGTGCGGCAGGTGTCGTGGTGCGTGACAGTGGTGGTGGTGTCAACAGGTGTGGCAGGTGTGGTGGTGCGTGACGGTGGTGTTTGTGTCAACAGGTGCGGCAGGTGTCGTGGTGCGTGACAGCTTTGTTGGTGTCAACAGGTGCGGCAGGTGTCGTGGTGCGTGACAGTGGTGTTGGTGTCAACAGGTGTGACAGGTGTGGTGGTGCGTGACAGTGGTGGTGGTGTCAACAGGTGCGGCAGGTGTCGTGGTGCGTGACACTGGTGTTGGTGTCAACAGGTGCGGCAGGTGTCGTGGAGCGTGACAGTGGTGTTGGTGTCAACAGGTGCGGCAGGTGTCGTGGTGCGTGACAGTGGTGTTGGTGTCAACAGGTGTCGTGGAGCGTGACAGTGGTGTTGGTGTCAACAGGTGCGGCAGGTGTCATGGTGCGTGACAGTGGTGGTGGTGTCAACAGGTGCGGCAGGTGTCGTGGTGCGTGACAGTGGTGTTGGTGTCAACAGGTGTCGTGGAGCGTGACAGTGGTGTTGGTGTCAACAGGTGTCGTGGAGCGTGACAGTGGTGTTGGTGTCAACAGGTGCGGCAGGTGTCTTGGAGCGTGACAGTGGTGTTGGTGTCAACAGGTGCGGCAGGTGTCATGGTGCGTGACAGTGGTGGTGGTGTCAACAGGTGCGGCAGGTGTCGTGGAGCGTGACAGTTGTGTTGGTGTCAACAGGTGCGGCAGGTGTCGTGGTGCGTGACAGAGGTGGTGGTGTCAACAGGTGTGGCAGTGTGGCAGGTGTCGTGGTGCGTGACAGTGGTGGTGGTGTCAACAGGTGTGGCAGTGCGGCAGGTGTCGTGGTGCGTGACAGTGGTGGTGGTGTCAACAGGTGTGGCAGGTGTGGTGGTGCGTGACGGTGGTGTTTGTGTCAACAGGTGCGGCAGGTGTCGTGGTGCGTGACAGCTTTGTTGGTGTCAACAGGTGCGGCAGGTGTCGTGGTGCGTGACAGTGGTGTTGGTGTCAACAGGTGTGACAGGTGTGGTGGTGCGTGACAGTGGTGGTGGTGTCAACAGGTGCGGCAGGTGTCGTGGTGCGTGACACTGGTGTTGGTGTCAACAGGTGCGGCAGGTGTCGTGGAGCGTGACAGTGGTGTTGGTGTCAACAGGTGCGGCAGGTGTCGTGGTGCGTGACAGTGGTGTTGGTGTCAACAGGTGTCGTGGAGCGTGACAGTGGTGTTGGTGTCAACAGGTGCGGCAGGTGTCATGGTGCGTGACAGTGGTGGTGGTGTCAACAGGTGCGGCAGGTGTCGTGGTGCGTGACAGTGGTGTTGGTGTCAACAGGTGTCGTGGAGCGTGACAGTGGTGTTGGTGTCAACAGGTGTCGTGGAGCGTGACAGTGGTGTTGGTGTCAACAGGTGCGGCAGGTGTCTTGGAGCGTGACAGTGGTGTTGGTATCAACAGGTGCGGCAGGTGTCATGGTGCGTGACAGTGGTGGTGGTGTCAACAGGTGCGGCAGGTGTCGTGGTGCGTGACAGTGGTATTATTGTCAACAGGTGTGGCAGGTGTCGTGGAGCGTGACAGTGGTGGTGGTGTCAACAGGAGCGGCAGGTGTCGTGGAGCGTGACAGTTGTGTTGGTGTCAACAGGTGCGGCAGGTGTCGTGGTGCGTGACAGTGGTGGTGGTGTCAACAGGTGCGGCAGGTGTCATGGTGCGTGACAGTGGTGGTGGTGTCAACAGGTGCGGCAAGTGTCGTGGTGCGTGACAGTGGTATTAGTGTCAACAGGTGTAGCAGGTGTCGAGGAGCGTGACAGTGGTGTTGGTGTCCACAGGTGCGGCAGGTGTCTTGGTGCGTGACAGTGGTGGTGTTGGTGTCAACAGGTGCGGCAGGTGTCGTGGTGCGTGACAGTGGTGTTGGTGTCAACAGGTGCGGCAGGTGTCGTGGTGCGTGACAGTGGTGGTGGTGTCAACAGGTGCGGCAGGTGTCGTGGTGCGTGACAGTGGTGTTGGTGTCAACAGGTGCGGCAGGTATCGTGGTGCGTGACAGTGGTGTTGGTGTCAACAGGTGCGGCAGGTGTCGTGGTGCGTGACAGTGGTGTTGGTGTCAACAGGTGCGGCAGGTGTCATGGTGCGTGACACTGGTGTTGGTGTCAACAGGTGCGGCAGGTGTCGTGGAGCGTGACAGTGGTGTTGGTGTCAACAGGTGTCGTGGAGCGTGACAGTGGTGTTGGTGTCAACAGGTGTCGTGGAGCGTGACAGTGGTGTTGGTGTCAACAGGTGCGGCAGGTGTCTTGGAGCGTGACAGTGGTGTTGGTGTCTACAGGTGCGGCAGGTGTCATGGTGCGTGACAGTGGTGGTGGTGTCAACAGGTGCGGCAGGTGTCGTGGAGCGTGACAGTTGTGTTGGTGTCAACAGGTGCGGCAGGTGTCGTGGTGCGTGACAGAGGTGGTGGTGTCAACAGGTGTGGCAGTGTGGCAGGTGTCGTGGTGCGTGACAGTGGTGGTGGTGTCAACAGGTGTGGCAGTGCGGCAGGTGTCGTGGTGCGTGACAGTGGTGGTGGTGTCAACAGGTGTGGCAGGTGTGGTGGTGCGTGACGGTGGTGTTTGTGTCAACAGGTGCGGCAGGTGTCGTGGTGCGTGACAGCTTTGTTGGTGTCAACAGGTGCGGCAGGTGTCGTGGTGCGTGACAGTGGTGTTGGTGTCAACAGGTGTGACAGGTGTGGTGGTGCGTGACAGTGGTGGTGGTGTCAACAGGTGCGGCAGGTGTCGTGGTGCGTGACACTGGTGTTGGTGTCAACAGGTGCGGCAGGTGTCGTGGAACGTGACAGTGGTGTTGGTGTCAACAGGTGCGGCAGGTGTCGTGGTGCGTGACAGTGGTGTTGGTGTCAACAGGTGTCGTGGAGCGTGACAGTGGTGTTGGTGTCAACAGGTGCGGCAGGTGTCATGGTGCGTGACAGTGGTGGTGGTGTCAACAGGTGCGGCAGGTGTCGTGGTGCGTGACAGTGGTGTTGGTGTCAACAGGTGTCGTGGAGCGTGACAGTGGTGTTGGTGTCAACAGGTGTCGTGGAGCGTGACAGTGGTGTTGGTGTCAACAGGTGCGGCAGGTGTCTTGGAGCGTGACAGTGGTGTTGGTGTCAACAGGTGCGGCAGGTGTCATGGTGCGTGACAGTGGTGGTGGTGTCAACAGGTGCGGCAGGTGTCGTGGTGCGTGACAGTGGTATTATTGTCAACAGGTGTGGCAGGTGTCGTGGAGCGTGACAGTGGTGGTGGTGTCAACAGGTGCGGCAGGTGTCGTGGAGCGTGACAGTCGTGTTGGTGTCAACAGGTGCGGCAGGTGTCGTGGTGCGTGACAGTGGTGGTGGTGTCAACAGGTGCGGCAGGTGTCATGGTGCGTGACAGTGGTGGTGGTGTCAACAGGTGCGGCAAGTGTCGTGGTGCGTGACAGTGGTATTAGTGTCAACAGGTGTAGCAGGTGTCGTGGAGCGTGACAGTGGTGTTGGTGTCAACAGGTGCGGCAGGTGTCTTGGTGCGTGACAGTGGTGGTGTTGGTGTCAACAGGTGCGGCAGGTGTCGTGGTGCGTGACAGTGGTGTTGGTGTCAACAGGTGCGGCAGGTGTCGTGGTGCGTGACAGTGGTGGTGGTGTCAACAGGTGCGGCAGGTGTCGTGGTGCGTGACAGTGGTGTTGGTGTCAACAGGTGTCGTGGAGCGTGACAGTGGTGTTGGTGTCAACAGGTGTCGTGGAGCGTGACAGTGGTGTTGGTGTCAACAGGTGCGGCAGGTGTCTTGGAGCGTGACAGTGGTGTTGGTGTCAACAGGTGCGGCAGGTGTCATGGTGCGTGACAGTGGTGGTGGTGTCAACAGGTGCGGCAGGTGTCGTGGAGCGTGACAGTTGTGTTGGTGTCAACAGGTGCGGCAGGTGTCGTGGTGCGTGACAGAGGTGGTGGTGTCAACAGGTGTGGCAGTGTGGCAGGTGTCGTGGTGCGTGACAGTGGTGGTGGTGTCAACAGGTGTGGCAGTGCGGCAGGTGTCGTGGTGCGTGACAGTGGTGGTGGTGTCAACAGGTGTGGCAGGTGTGGTGGTGCGTGACGGTGGTGTTTGTGTCAACAGGTGCGGCAGGTGTCGTGGTGCGTGACAGCTTTGTTGATGTCAACAGGTGCGGCAGGTGTCGTGGTGCGTGACAGTGGTGTTGGTGTCAACAGGTGTAGCAGGTGTCGTGGAGCGTGACAGTGGTGTTGGTGTCAACAGGTGCGGCAGGTGTCTTGGTGCGTGACAGTGGTGGTGTTGGTGTCAACAGGTGCGGCAGGTGTCGTGGTGCGTGACAGTGGTGTTGGTGTCAACAGGTGCGGCAGGTGTCGTGGTGCGTGACAGTGGTGGTGGTGTCAACAGGTGCGGCAGGTGTCGTGGTGCGTGACAGTGGTGTTGGTGTCAACAGGTGCGGCAGGTATCGTGGTGCGTGACAGTGGTGTTGGTGTCAACAGGTGCGGCAGGTGTCGTGGTGCGTGACAGTGGTGTTGGTGTCAACAGGTGCGGCAGGTGTCATGGTGCGTGACAGTGGTGGTGGTGTCAACAGGTGCGGCAGGTATCGTGGTGCGTGACAGTGGTGTTGGTGTCAACAGGTGCGGCAGGTGTCGTGGTGCGTGACAGTGGTGTTGGTGTCAACAGGTGCGGCAGGTGTCGTGATGCGTGACAGTGGTGGTGGTGTCAACAGGTGCGGCAGGTGTCATGGTGCGTGACAGTGGTGTTGGTGTCAACAGGTGCGGCAGGTGTCGTGGTGCGTGACAGTGGTGTTGGTGTCAACAGGTGCGGCAGGTGTTATGGTGCGTGACAGTGGTGGTGGTGTCAACAGGTGCGGCAGGTGTCATGGTGCGTGACAGTGGTGTTGGTGTCAACAGGTGCGGCAGGTGTCGTGGTGCGTGACAGTGGTGTTGGTGTCAACAGGTGCGGCAGGTGTCATGGTGCGTGACAGTGGTGGTGGTGTCAACAGGTGCGGCAGGTCTCGTGGTGCGTGACAGTGGTGTTGGTGTCAACAGGTGCGGCAGGTGTCGTGGTGCGTGACAGTGGTGTTGGTGTCAACAGGTGCGGCAGGTGTCGTGATGCGTGACAGTGGTGGTGGTGTCAACAGGTGCGGCAGGTGTCATGGTGCGTGACAGTGGTGTTGGTGTCAACAGGTGCGGCAGGTGTCGTGGTGCGTGACAGTGGTGTTGGTGTCAACAGGTGCGGCAAGTGTCGTGGTGCGTGACAGTGGTGTTGGTGTCAACAGGTGCGGCAGGTGTCGTGGTGCGTGACAGTGGTGGTGGTGAGTGACGACCTGGCCTTCCTCTCCACCTTCGCCCAGTGGTCCCTCAAGGGTCGCCTCCTGGTGTGGTCCACCAGGCTCCTGGTCGTCACCCGCCTGCCCCTCCACCACCTGCAGGTCCTCCACGGGCTCCTCTCCTCCACCAACTCCATCTTACTCATTGCTGAGAAATCCTCCAGGTAATTACAGAAGATTCCAATATCATGTTACAGTCCAATAAGATTTGCAATTGTTTAATTTACACTTCTTATTAAATTAAATAATGTCTGCAGAGATTGTCTGTAACGCTCACAGTCAAGGATTGTTTACCCTGCAGATGCAGATTGTACGTGTATTGGCCGTTCGCATCAAGTGGGGCCCAGGCCTCACTACTGGCCTCCTGGACCCCTCGGGTCGGCCTGGCCTTCACTACTCAACTCAAGCTCTTCCCTGACAAGTTCTCCAAGTGAGTAATTAGCTCGGCAGACTTAAATTTGCAAAAATTACATTCAGGACTATTGCCAAAATACCTATTTGTATTTGCAACAGCAATCAAAAAAACTGATCCACTGAAAATACGGAAAACACAAATTTCCAAAAATAAACAATTCTGAACACATTTTTTCAACTGTGGATTTTGCGCATATTCATATTTATATTTAATGTGGCAATAAATATTTGTACAAGACCATATCAGAAGTTATTCTTCGTGCAGTGGCTGGGGAGAGTTTACGAATCATCCATTGGTTATATTGCCTACTTATATATTTGGAAACAAATATAGTTTTGGCAATAAGCTGAAGTAGATATTACAAAGCTTGGTAAACTAATTTTAACAAAATCATAAGTTGACACTGCCTACCTCACGGAGATATGAACTAGAGACAACTATGTGGCTACTTTGAACAGTAGTATTTCTTTCAGTGTCCTCAGACCCTCATAAACCAAGGATACACTTCTTAAATAGGATTTGCTAAAAATTCCCTCCAACAGGAAGGGAATGCCTAATCCAGCAGTGACAAAGTGATAAAAACAACCAGGTGTTCAAATCAAATATTAACTTTAGATGGACAATATTTATCATACTCAGCATAAAGGTAGAATGATATGCAGGCGACGAGTCACAATAACGTGGCTGAAGTATGTTGACCAGACCACACACTAGAAGATGAAGGGACGACGACGTTTCGGTTAGTCCTGGACCATTCTCAAATCGATTGTGAGAATCGACTTGAGAATAGCCCATGACGGACCGAAACGTCATCGTCCCTTCATCTTTTAATGTGTGGTCTAGTCAACGTAGAATGATATATTATGATACATTCTACGCTTACTCTTTTACTTTTACAGACTTCAAAATGGACCTGAGCTAGTAGTAGCAGCTGAGGAATTTGAGCCTCACATCGCGTTGGTGAAAGAGAAGAGTGTCACATCTGCCACATCCTTCACAGGCCCAATGGTGAATTTGTTGAAGATAATCGCAAAGTCTGTGAACTTTACGTAAGTTTTTTAGATAAGTGTATAATGAATGCGAAACAAAAATTATGTCAATGGAAGGCATATTCAAAAAGAGATGATGTGTCTCAAAACTCCCATCAAAATGTTTTACAAAATAGATGCCGCTGGCATGAATTACTTTATAATACAACAAATGTGTTGATCCCTCCCAAGTGCTTTATAGTCGTAATGGATTAACACTCTTCTGATAATTACCTAATTAACTTCCTGTTTCTAGAACGGGATAAATGAATAAGCTTACAACGAATAGGTTAGGAATTATTAGAACAAATAATTCGTAAGGAATGGGAGTGTAGTTGATGGAGTAAATTTAAGGCTCTCATAAGTACTCTTTTATGAATCGATTTTCATTTCAGATTTTTCATTTATTTTTGGGGGGGATTAATCTATTTGTTATATACTCCAACTTCATCTGAATGTTGTAACATAAACAAATTTCAAGGATTTTTTTTTTCAAATAATTTCATAAACTACAAACATTCACTGATTACTTTTATTTTCAGTATACTATCAGAATATCATATAATGTTCATTTTGTCTTGATGGAATACTTCTTTCAAGTATAGTTTGCTGTAAACAAAAATCAATAAACCCTTCCAATTTGACCCAAATATAGAGATTTAGACATTTATAACTCCAAAAGTTTTGTGTTTATTGAAAAACGGTCAACACAACTTTTAGATTGAAGGAAGTTTCAATTGATATGTGAAAATGATGAGAATCGACTGGTAATTGTAACTCTTGAAAGGTTTTGAAAATTTTAGGAAACAAAAAAAAACTCCTTTTTATTGTATAATGTTAAAATTTTAACATTTAGACAAAGTTGGAGAAAAACGAAAACGAAAATCCAAGAATACGAAATCATCCGGCTCCTTGAAACCTTCATAAATTATTAGTTTAAATTAAATAAAGCTAATGGAAGAATCTTAGAGTCTGCCAGCTGAGCTGCCAGACTCTCAGATTCTTCCATATCCTTCCTTCTCCCTCGACATATACATCACCTAATAAGTTTCTTTGTATTCAACAAATAGTTATTTGCCATTTTGGGATGTCAGAAAGGGGCAGAATATCTGACGGGGAACAGTTGCACCTTTGGGTGGTCCGTCTGCTTTTGTCCCCACCTGCACTCATCCCTCACCTGTGGCTACTAGGGGTTACAGGTGAGGGATAAGTAGCCACACCCCCCAGTAAACCGCTTCGACTGGCGGGTAAAACCATGTGAGGGTAGTCAATGGTTTGAGACCCCTCGGTGAGTTAGGGTTTGTCAGCCACGCATCTGAAGAGTAGATGGAAACCACCAGAGTTGCTCAAAGGGCAGGAAGGCAGACCCAGCAAAGCGTTGTGGACACCGTAAATAGGGTACAGTGAGTCACGAAAGACACTGTTGGCGTCCAGTGCATCCTAATCTATCTCCAGCTGTCTCAACTTGTCTTCCATTGGATCAAGATAAACCGGGATGAGAGAGTGAGGCTGACGATTTGCACAAGTTTCCCTCACTTTAATAAACGTCAAGCAAAAGTCATGACTTCAACCCATACTGTGCAACCTCAAGTCCTGTGACGAGTGGCAAAGCAGCAGGTGAGGATATACTGGAAGCTGTAGCCACAGACCTGCATACAGGCGGCTCAGGGCATAAGGTCACTTTCTACTGGATTGAAGCAGCAGCAGAGTTCGGCCGCCCCCTGAATGTCTCATCAGCCCTCATCAGGACACATTCTGCTCATCTCCATGGAGGAAGGGACTAGAGAAGGGGCCATAAACATAGGCTGTTTCAATTCACCCTGGCTCCAGCAACCAGGAGGCCTGATCGACGACCGGGCCGCGGGTACGCTAAGCCCCGGAAGCACCTCAAGGTAACCTCAAGGTAAGGTAGGCTAGCAAGCCGCCGCTGGCGGGGATCCCTCACAGCGGTCGAACAAATACAAAGCAAAAAGTGAGGGTGCTCAATCTCGGTACCTGGAACGTTCGAACTCTGCTGGACAACATCAAGACAGACAGACCTGAAAGGCGAATTTGATTGGTCGTTAAATAACAAGAAAGCTACAGTGTGGAAATAACAGCACTCAGTGAAATATGCCTGGCAGACAAAAGTCAGCTTACAGAATGTGAAAGTGGGTACACGATTTTCTGACAAAACATAGAAAATGGCAGTACCTGCTTGCATTTGCTATACTTACCAAGAACCCCATGGATAGAGAACTTGCCTTACAAACTTTGGTAAAGACCCGCCCAAAACACTTCAGATGAAGCACAGTAAAAAAAAAAAGCAATCCCGACACGAACATAAGATCCTCTCCAGGTTACCTGAAATAGTATAAACCTTAGTGTATACTGGAGTTGTATTAATAGGTTGGTGAATGTAAAGTAGAGCTAGGTGGTCAGTACAGTAAAGGGGAACGATTTATTAACGAAATGCTGACTCAACAGAACCAAATGCTGACTCCAGAACCAGTGCCTCTCACCAGGTGCCAGCTGCCTCTCACCTACTGAGCTAGGTGGTCAGTACAGTAAAGGGGAACGATTTATTAACGAAATGCTGACTCAACAGAACCAAATGCTGACTCCAGAACCTGTGCCTCTCACCAGCCAGACGCAATTAAATTCAGCTGTCCCCGAACTGTGGGAACATGTCCACACGTCGAACATAACCATCTTATATATCTTAAATCTACCACCACACTTTACCTAATATAAATTAATTGGTATAACCTCTGGCTGCATAAAACTTAATTACTGTTTTTTTTTAAATCACATCTGACAGTAAGTTACAGTTTATAAATGAATCATGTCCAGGCAACTTTGCATGAGTACTAGTCACTACTCGTCGATTCCTCATTTTTCCTTAACAATTCCTCCTGTTTATTATCACCCAAGCTCAAATCCGATGAAAACATTTGTAAAGACCAACCCTGGTCATAACACACGGAGGTTATTAAAAGGGCCGATATTCCCAGCGTTTACACCCTCTTACTGAAAACTGAGGCTGGGATGGACAGGCTATATTGTCAGAATGCCTGACAGTCGATTACCAAAACAGCTGCTGTATGGAGAATTAGGCCAGGGCACGCGTTCTGTTAGGGGTCAGAAGAAACGATTCAAGGACTGCCTCAAAGTGACCATCAAAGACCTGAACATCTACCCTAGCGCCTGGGAGTGGCTTGCTCAAGACCGTCCAACTTGGTGAAGAAGAGTCGCCACTTGGGCCCGTGTGGCAGAAAATAGACGGACGGTAGAGGCCCAAAGGAAATGCTCTGCTCGCAAAGCTAAAGCAACCTCCACCTCGACAGCAGCATTCACCCACATGTGTTCGCTGTGAAGGAGAGCCTTACGGGACCATTTTGGTCTCATTAGCCATCTTCGGACACACAGCCACCGATCTTCTGGAACTAATCTTAATCATTATCTTTCTAATTTTCATTGGAACACTTCCCACCAATCGATTTACAAGCAGGTACCCAATCACTCCTGGATTAACGGAGGCAAACAATTAAGAAATCAGTGCCCAGTGCTCGAGCACGGGATGATATCGCTCTCTTTAGGAGCCTTCCTCCACAGGTATAGGTACGTCCGCCCTCCTGATGGATCGTGGGGTGCCAAACTAGCAGACGGGTCCTGGACTGGTATGGTTGGCATGGTGGGCAGGGGGGTGAGTATATGCTATATCAGAAATTTGTACCTGAAGTGCTTCTACATTTGTATTACATCACTTATTTTCGTGTTATTCATTGTGAAATCATATCACTAGTCATGTCATTTTTCTTGGTCCAATAATACATGAAAACTTATAGAAAATAACAAATTATTATCTCATGGTTTAATCAAGCATGAGGGATATCATTTTGAAGAAAATTAGCCTGAATATTTCCATTATAATATTATGTTCTTGCTGAGCAATGTAAATTTACCACTTGGATTTATTTTTCTTGAAAGAACTTTCTTCTGCAGGAAGCAGACTTTGGTCTTGGCCCTTTCGGCGTCAGTGCCACACGAGCCGAGATGGTGGACTTCACGAGGGAGATACTGACAGAGACTGCAAGAATCATGGGGGGTCGAGGGGTGCCAGAGGTGAACCCCTGGGGCTTCCTACTGCCGCTGGAGCCCCTGGTGTGGGCGGCAACCCTGGCGGCACTGGTAATGCTCTTCACTATGGTATACTTCTTGTCGCTGCTCGGGTTAAAAGCGACCAGCAATAATGTCTGGTCATCTGATGCACCTTTTCTATACATTCGCATTTTCTTACAACAAGGTAAGCATGAAATGTCATGTAAACATAAGCTTTTGAGAGCGCATGTGTTTGAGAAGACACAGTCAAGTGTCCAGTGTCCATTTGAAACATTGTTTAGCAAGTTTTAGGCAATATAATAAATATTAAAAGCTACGTTTCTGTGGCATAAAACAACACAATGTAAACCTGCTTCATGACATTTTCCCTGTTCATCAAAGTTAGTCTTTATGTGCCTTCTCAATGTGTTTGACAATTTTATAAGTTTCAATTTAACGTTTTCCAACAACAGTAGTTCTTTTGTTTGATCTACGTAGATGGGACCAGCAAAAGAAAAATAAATTTTTGAAACAAAATTTATATGTCCTAAATTCGATGAGCCATCTTTTAATCAGTGTAACGTCTTAAAGGGAAGTTCTATTAGTGATACCGGGCTGTGGTCCATGTCATGGTGGTTCATGTCTTTCTCCTTTCCTGTATTTCGGTGCCACATTTGCCACTTTCCAAATGTCAGGAAGTTCCCTTATTTGTAGTGAAGAGTTGATGACTATAGCAAGGGGTATACACAAAGTTGCAGCCGCCTCTTTTAGGATGCATGGTGAGATCTTGTTAGGGGCTGAGGCTTTCAGCACTCTATTTTCTCTTTACTTCCTCTGAAGTCACTTCTATTTTGATCAGTCTTCCTTCAGGTAGCACCTGTTAGATTAGAATGTCATAGATTTGGCAACAACTCTGGTTCTATCTTAAACAGTTCCTGGAAACCTTTATTGAGTTCTTCGCACACTACATTATCGTTCTTTGTGAGGCCTCCTCTTTTTCGCAACCTGATCACTTGTTCATTTGCTGACGTCTTCCACGACACGTTATTTAGGCTGATGTTAACCTTGGATGTTATATCATTATAATATTGCGTCTATGCTTCTCTCCGAATTCTTGTGTATGCATTCTTCTTTCTTCTATATATGTGGTTTTCCTTTGTTCTGTGCCGCTCTGTAGCATGCTCTTTTGCTTCTCCTTTTAGCCTCTGAACATTGTCTGTTAAACCATGGACCATTTTCTGCCTTGACTTCTTTTTTCTTTGGGATAATATAAATCTTGTATCAACTTCTTTGCACTGGTTAGTTATGAAGTCGTTCATGCCTTATGTTGTATTCTCTTATAGATTTTTCCCAGGGAATTTTTTCTTTGATCCAGACAATTTCTTTATGCGGGATATCCAAACCCCTGTAAATATAACTGATATCAACACGAGCGTACTAGACTTTGAAAGAGAAATTGAAAACATGCCTATGCACTCGGCTCCGGGACCAGAATCATGGAATTCAATATTTATAAAGAAATGCAAAGTGCCAGTAGCACAGGCACTCAGTATAGTGTGGAGGAAGAGCTTGGAAACGGGGGAGATACCAGATGGGCTTAAAGTAGCAGACATAGCCCCTCTACACAAGCGCGGGAGCAAAGCATTGGCAAAGAATTATAGACCAAGCACTAACGTCGCACATAATAAAACTATTTGAGAGAGTGATTAGGAGTCAGGTCACCAATATCATGGAGACCAATGACCTTCACAACCCAGGCCAACATGGATTTCGAGCGGGAAGATCGTTCCTCTCATAGCAGCTTGATCACTATGACAAAGTCAATGAAGCATTAGAAGAAAAACAGAATGCTGATGTGATATACACGGACTTTGGAAAGGCTTTCGATAAATGTGACCATGGAGTGATAGCACACAAAATGAAGTCAATGCGAATAACCGGTAAAGTAGGACGCTGGATACTCAGTTTTCTGTCAAACAGGACTTAGTGAGTAACTGTCAACCATATGGAATCGAATCCAAGCTCAGTTAAATGCTCTGTACCTCAGAGTACAGTCCTTGCACCGCTGTTTTTCCTTATTCTTATATCAGATATAGACAAAAATACAAGTCACAGCTTCATATCATCTTTTGCAGATGACGTAAAAATCAGTATGAAAATTACCTCGGCTGAAGACACTGAAAACTTCAAGCAGATATTAATAAAGTTTTCGACTGGGCAACAGAAAATAACATGATGGTTAACAGTGACAAATTCCAGGTACTTAGGTACGGTAAAAATGAGGATCTTAAGCATAATACAGGGTACAAAACACAATCAAATGTACCCATAGTAGGAAACCAGCATGTAAAGGATCTGGGAATAATGATGGCTGCCGACCTAACGTTCAGGGAGCATAAGCAAGTAAATATTGCGTTAGCCAGAAAAATGATCGGATGGATTACGAGAACTTTCAAATCCAGGGATCCCATCACAGTGGTTGTACTCTTCAAGTCACTTGTGTTGTCCCGTGTTGAGTACTGCTCAGTACTCACTTCCCCCTTCAGAGCAGGAGAGATTGCTGAAATAGAGGGAATACAAAGAACATATACGGCATGCATAGACGCAATAAAGCACCTAAACTATTGGGATCGTCTCAAAGCTCTCCAAATGTACTCACTAGAAAGAAGATGAGAGAGATATCAAATAATATACACGTGGAAGATACTGGAGGTCCAAGTACCAAATCTACACTGTAAATTAACAACGTTCTGGAGTGAACGATATGGAAGAAAATGCAGAATAGAACCAGTGAAAAGCAGGGGTGCCATATGTCCACGGTTGTTCAACGCCCCTCCCAGCTAGCATTAGAAATATTACCGGAAAAACCGTATACATCTTCAAGAGGAAACTAGATGGTTTCCTCCAAGGAGTGCCGGACCGGGCTGTGGTGGATATGTGGGCCTGCGGGCCGCTCCACGCAACAGCCTAGTATACTAAACTCTCACAAGTCAAGCCTGGCCTCGGGCCGGGCTTGGGGAGTAGAAGAACTCCCAGAACCCCATCAACCAGGTTTCTAAGAATTCTCTGACCTTCTGGTACTCGCCTTCATGGAACGCTAGTCTTTTATTCCCCTCTTCTCTTCCTCTTGTCTCAACTTTCATAATAACTAAACAGATAAATACCAATACACAAATGGTCACTTGCCTACATTAGCATTTCATACTAAATGTTCTTAATGTCAATTTCGATTTACGTGAATCCTAGGTCCAATCTTGCTGGTTGGTCTTCCCTCTCTTCTTCTTGTTTCCTCTCTAGCATGTTAAGAAGTTTATTTCTGCAACTTCTACCACTTTTGCTCGCCCTGTTTCTTCTCTCCCTCTTAGATTCATTGATTCCCAATCACTTGGTACATGACTGAAATCTTCTATTACTGGTAGCTTTGCTCTCAATCTAAGAAATAGTTCAATCTATAGGATATTTATGTAAGCTCTGTTTGCAGTCTCGTATTCGTGTTGATCTCCTTTGATTCTCTGGGAATTGTAGCACGCCATCACAACCCCGTTTTTCTTTCCACTGAAATGATTCGTGGGACATTTTCTGTATTATTAGCATCTTACTCAAAAATTATCTCTTGAAACCTGCTGTCTCTTTTGACCAGTAGTGCCACTCCCCCTCCTCCTCATCTTTGCTTTCTTTCTCTTCATGACATCGAGTATTCTCTAGAGAATATTGTAGTAGGGATCATTTCAGTTACTTTTTGTTTCTACTATTGCTATTACATCAGGATCTATTCCATCAGTTTTTTTCAGTTCATCCACTTTGATAATCCATCAGCATGTGTGTATCACATTCTAAGGCTGTTCAAAGATTATCTGTTCTCTATATAGTTAGCCCCCAGTATGGGGTTGGGGAATTTGGTTGGTTGAGGTGTAGAAGTTATTGAATGGGTGGAAGGAATTGTTGGAAGAAAGAGCCCGGAAGGGGAGGGCAATGAGAAAGTTGTAGATATTGAAGTAACTGGTAAAGGAGGAAGGGAGGATTGTTGGTTGATAGAAGGATATGGAAACCCACCAAACATTTTCACGTTTTCTAAACGTGCTAAAAACGACATTTCATTGTCTTGGGCACGTTTTAAATAACGTTCAATATACGTGTTTTGAGAATTTGTAAAGACGAGTATAAAATGTGAGGTCAAAACGTTTGAATAAAACGTGTTTTAAATGTTATGATATAACGTTTTGGAGCAGAGGTGTTTAAAAGGTAAAAAAAGTGAGTGTGAAGAGAAATAGAAGCAAGAGAGAGAGCCGGGGAGAGAGAGAAGAGAGAAGTGTGAGGGAGAAGAAGAATAGAAAGAAGAGAGTGAGCGAGAGAAGGAGAGAAGAGAGGAAGAAGAGAAAGAAACAAATGGAGAGAGGAGGAGAAGAAGAGAGGGAGAAGAAGAAAGAGAGAAGGAAAGAGAGAGAGAGAGAGAGAGAGAGAGAGAGAGAGAGAGAGAGAGAGAGAGAGAGAGAGAGAGAGAGAGAGAGAGAGAGAGAGAGAGAGAGAGAGAGAGAGAGAGAGAAGAGAGAGAGAGAGAGAGGGAGCAGTTGACCCAGAGCCATGGGACAGGACGGTCGAGATGTGCCCTCGTCCTCGAGACAGGCCTAGCCGTATGGCCCAGGCTTTAGAGTGTCTAATAGCACAGCTGTGACAGTAGCAGGTGTTCCAAAGTGGGGTTATCCACCATAGTTGATAGTGAGCGGTGAACAGAGTGGTCTGGTCAGAAATTGAGACAAAGATTGCAAAGTGTGGCAGTAACAGGAGTTCCACGAGGGGAGCAGTGTGGGTTTCCTCCCAGGTTCCTGGGCCTTTTAGGACATGTGCCCTGCTTCCCTAACGTTGCGGTCTCCCTGAGCAGCGGGTGTTGTTTATATGAGGAACCTGAGAGCTCACCTCCTAGTATATGTATATAGTTCTGTATATTGCCTTTACCGCTACACGTGACAACTACATAGTCATAGGCAAATAGATGACGACAACCAGAAGTCAGACAAGAGGACAAGAGCAGCAGCAGCAGCAACAACAACAACAACACAGACAGGCAATCACACAAGAAAGTATGCCAAGCACATCTGGCCACCACAACAACTCCCACCCTGGCATGAGTGAGGCTCCACCCCCGGGGACTACCAACAGTGATCGCGGGAGTGAAAACTCATCAGCAGATGAAGGCGGCTACGAAAC